CACGGAGTAACTCGAGATAATAATTTTTCGAAAGTTGCTTAACGACAACGATCGCGGGCCGCGGCGCTTATCCACTACGCCACCGAGCTACCCATACATTAGTTTGATGACATATCCAATGTAATAAACCATGTATATTGTGATTAGAAGATTGTGATGATGTTACCATAAATTTATATTCTAGATACCGTCAAAGGTTTATTAGTTAGATCAATATCAAACGCAAATAATATACATTTGGTCTAATAACAATTATATTACATTTCAGGGACGTATGAAAATGATTTATAGAGGATACACAAGGACAATTTAGTTAGGATCCCCCCTCGTGGAATTGCTAACGAGATTCTGAGGCTCATCGAACTATTAATTATAAGCTAGTATGTGGATATTAGATAATCTACTGTCATTATATAACCAATGCACCTATTTCAAAAATTATATCTGTATATTATCTCTGGATTCCTTGCAGAGTAAGCTGAGAAGACCGATCAACAGTACTGATAAATTAATAATACCCTTCCACTCTGCATCGTAGTGTACCATGTCTTTTGTTTTTGAATAATCGCAGAAGTGCTTTTTACCTAGTAAATTTATACCGAAATAGGCAGAAGTTATCCAGAAGTGCAGCTTGCATTAATGTAACATTCGCTTCCATTTGAGAATGTATTCTTTGCATATTTATCAGTTTCCTCGTCACCCAATATTCTTAGGTGTGCAGGAAATTTGCGTTAGGTGTGCACTTTTATAATGCGTTACTCAAATCGAAATATCTGCTCGAGAATGCGAAAGACTGTCGGTGTCAGTACACTTATGTGCCCAGAGTAGCATCGAACCGAGTTTTAATTGGACTCACACTATCTGAGCAATTGATAAGCTTCATAAAAAAATAACTTTTGAAACCAAAAATGTATAATCGAGGCGCTAATGCGAAGATATAGCGATAGCATAGAAAATAATATTTCCCATTAATATTGTTACATAGAAAATAAACATTAATTGTTAATTATCAGAACAGATCCAAGTATCACTTATTGAACGAACGCCCGGCCTGCGAAAGGTTCGTGTCCCGTCTCAAGCTAGAATTCGATTAGACTCTCGAACTCTGAGATGACTTTTTTCTATGAGTTTGAATAAGAGTTACTTTTGTAGTCGCTTAAATTTCACACTGAAAACAATTATTAACTAACACATTTGAAGATTATCAAACACCAGTCAAAATTATCCCCGAAGGATATTCAAAGTAATATATAACTGGAAGACAGTAGCTTGGCCGGTCTCCGGGACTGTTTATTGCTTAACAATTATTACAAACTGCGCGAGCCAACTATTCGCCGAGGACCACACAATGCCCTCGCGGTTATAATTAATTCAATATGAGACTCGGATATGCGCTTGCATCGTATACATGAATATTAAATCGGCTAAGAGATAAAATGCTAATTTAGCCAGATGCATACACATTTATAAGTGGACTGCGCGTATTAGGCACAGATAACGCTGCCATGATAGCGGGATTGGATTAGCTGATTTAATTTCGAAATTTACATTTGTCTTGGGTTGAATTAATTTAGCTGAATTAATCTGTTGTAATTTTAACGGTGGCTGAGCGTCGCCGGCCCCTCCGACAGGCTTTTCCTAGTTGTGTTTAGGAAAAATTTACTTTTATGTTTTACCTTTACGGCTATTAAATTACCTTTAGTATTTTAAAGCAAAGATATGCATTTAAATCAATTTGCATTATTTTTTATTTTTATTATGTAGGTATAGAAATTTTTGAAAATAGTTTTTATTTATTTAAAACAACAATTAGAAGCTATGGTTTATGGTAGATTAGAAATTATTACGAACGCAATTTGTATAGAGTTAAAATGTATATTTATAATAAGAGCTGAAGAGCTGATAAATTACTGATATTTTTTCAAAACGTTATTGCGATATGAGTTTAAACTTTTCTCATACATTATTTACTATATAAAAAATCTGATTGTTTTCATACATGTTCATAAGGTAATAGAAATTTGTCAAAATATAGGAAAACAAAGAAATATTTAGTCGTACCTCGACAACTTCTTGTTTATAAAGTATTCAATATTATTAGCAATTACTTAGAGGAGGGTGTCGCCAACAAAATGGTTGCATGTGTTGCGATGTAAAATATTAGCTTCTTTCTCTAAAAATAACACTCTGTGTTATACAACCCATTAAAACAGAGTTACGAAGAGACGTCGGAGTATATTTGTATCAGCGTGGAGGTAAAATCCACAAGATAGTTGTATACTGGTCGTATTAAAAATACGCGCACGTAGAGCAATAACAATAACCGTGTTCCATTTGTTATTCCACATTTAAATTATGCCTGTTACAACATCTTTATTCCGCGCCAAGTTTATTACGGCGAAGTTGCGTCGCGCGCAAGACGGCATTCGTGTACTCGCATTACCGGCAATTCATCAAAAACCATAGGAACTTAAGTCTGTTTCACGCGTTCCATTCAGTTAAGACTGGAAAGGGTTCTATATTTGAATTTTATTACTTTTTTTTATATATGTGGCCTGGGACGCATTTCTTTCGCAATAACCTTTCCTTTTTGCTTTACGTTCCTTTTTCAAATAAATGTTCTTTGAAAGCTAGTTCCACTATGCGATGTTACACAGATAAATACGAGTATATTAATTTAAAAAACAAATGCTTTGATGGTACGATTAATCAAATCGAACAGTTTGGATAAAAGTGAAAACTCATTCGAATAACGGTACTTCTAGAATGTCTCTATCTTGTATGTTCAAGAATACGGTGGGTGACATCTCCAATTTTTGCGCGTTACGCCTCCGTAAGACATTCGCCCATTACTCGCGAGTTGCGCATAAAAACCAATGTTTAACTAAAGTGCTTTTAGATTCGTGACGCTCCTGCCAAATCAACACCAAGTTTGATCGACTTTTCAAATTCGAAAGAGTTGGTAAATAGAAAGATTTTCTGTGTATATTGGTTAAGAGGTGAATGTAATACATGTTTGGAGAGGTACCTATTGTAATATCAGTCTAAAGCTCTTGCAGAAATTTCAGGTGACAGTCAGTTATATTTACTAACATTTGTCTGGTAATTTTGGAAGTTTCTTATTTAGTTATCACTTACCAAACCAAACAACATACACGATTCACGTATGTATGTCGCAGCCAACTGGTTAAATCAGGCGTTTAATTGGGCGGCTAGCCATGTGGACCGTTCAAAAAGTCTGTCGATTTATAAGCCGCCAAAATGTTCATTGAATTTTGTTATCTGTCAAAAAAACCTCGCAATTTCAAACGATCGCTATGTTGAGTTTTGAGTTTTAAATCACCCACTACAATATTTATTTTCATTTATTTCTAATACTACCAATAAATTTAGGTATTCCCGATGAATTGATAGTTATTTAGTTGGCTGATCTCTGTTCAGTCGTATTGTAGAACAATGCGTTCAGTTACTCGGCTGATCGAAAGTCAGCCCGTTAATTGATTATATCACTAGGCTGCGACTTATACAATGGGATATCCTTTGCATTCATAAAAAAGTAGTATAGTTCGTCAGTTTACGAATGAATCCTTAAATGTTTTCCGTGATTCATCATCATCCTATTAATATTCCCATTGGTGGGGTGGAAGATTTTATTATGAATGGAATCAAACAGGGAAAATCATGTAACTAGATTATAATAATTTTCATGGTTAATCTTATTTATTTTCTATTAATCTTCCTCTATAAAATATAATTGATAAACTGAGAAAACCAACGGATTTCATGCGATGTCATTTATTAATGAAATACATATTTATGAACTCAAAATGGTAAAATAAAATAAGACTCATTGTTTGGCGCATTAGTCTTACTGACGATTGTGAAATTTTAATTTTGTTTAAAAAAATCTTTTAATTTACAGGCGAGTGAAAAAGAACATTAAGTTTGAATGTCTATATAGCAATTTGCAATTAAATCTTTATTAACATACACAAATTTCAGCAGATATACTGCGCCATTCATATAAATCCACTTCATTTCGAAATCATTCATTTCCTTATAGAGCGACGTAGCTGGTACGGGTTAATTTTATTAGAGAAATTGCATCCTGCATCCAGTCGGTGCGACGACGTATTAACGCTGATGACTGGGGGTTCAATTACCGAGCTTAAGTACACATCATACGATCGACGTAAAACTATTATAAAACCATTTTCATTGGATATCGAAATGTATTACTCAAATATTCATACGCACTCTATTCCCGTAACGTTTGGTTAAACTTAGATTTGACCAAGGCCTTTCGGCTAACTCAGATATAAATTCTTTGTTTAGGCTTCTCCCTGAAGGATTTAGGAACACTTATTGTACGCGTTTCTTACAGAAATCTGCCATAGCCCACGATGCACCAATGAAGATATACTTTTAAAATCGACAATCTCGAATTACATCTCACTAACACCTGCCCGTAAAGGTGAACTCTTGTAGCGGAAACTAAATGCGTATACACTGTCATTCGGTCTAGTAACAAAACAAGAATCGAGTCTCGTTCTTGACTTTATCTTAAATAGCTAAGATACGGCGGTCGACTTTAGAAGTGCCGCTTTCCTCTCCTAATGAGTTGGCGAATTAACCGTCGTTTTGTTAAATACGCAACAGAGCAATCACGCAGACAGTTCCAAATTTGAATACGAATTGCTGGATTAGATTTTCTTTTTTAAACACAAGTGTGTGATTTTTGTTTAAAATTTTCCTGTTGTTATGTAATACGCATTCCATAGCATTAATCGTTCGTCGTCAAAGGGTAGAATATTTGTTGCCATCAGTACAATTTAAAACACGTATAATTATTATACTTATTATACCTATATACCGAAAGTCATCAAAATATTTTTTACTATAAAAATTAAATGAACGCTTATGAATAAATCTACACTAGAAAATTGTTAACCTGTTTGATAAACTGAGTTACATCAAAATCTAGATATAAGTGTTTTAATATGGATCAAGCTATAGATGTTGTATGGCGAAGAGCCAACAAGTTGACTGTGAGCGAGGAGGTGGGAAGTTCCGGGTTAGTCCCTGGAGCGATTTTAATCCATTCTACTTAAGAAGAGACTTTTTGCACTAGAACAGAGGTGTTTTAAACGAAATTACCGCCTCTTCAGAACTGCGTGTCTGTTAATTCGTTTACTCTTTGCGCGAGGGCTCTAATGGGAGGGCTTTTCTCGCGATTTCGCCGCAATTAAGATACTCCGTAAGGAAAAGTCGAGGCATTCCACCGCGTGAATCGATGCAGACAATTATATCGACACTGCTAAACCCTCGGCATCTCTATTGTTTAGATTTGCTTAAAAGATTTAACTTTCTTTTGCGCTCCAATCAACGTTTGTTTAAATTAAGCCACTCGGTTGGGTTGTATAATTTGTACGCTGTATTAATTTTGATTTGAATTTATAATAGGTTTACATTAAATGTGCGGTGAACTTCAAGAGAAAATTTTACACTAAAATTGAAGTTATTAATTTCGTGTACATCGTGTTTTTGTTTTAAAAATAACATCGACTATTATCTAAAAAAATATAAGTAAGTACGCAAGATATGTATGTATGTATTGTATAAACAGATTCTTTTTCAATTTAATTGAAAAAGGAATTGTTTATTTCAGTATGCAAAAATCCGTCAAGTATCTGCAGATCTTCCGTCGAGTGTGCGAGATCGTTTGTTATATCATATAATTTGTCAGTACTGACGTTCCGTGACCGACGAGACGTATATTCCGTTAGGTATGTATCGACTCTCACTGCTGTAAAAATTATAGTCATCCGAATTACATTGTTAAATGTTCGATAAAAGTATTCTAATTTTAAATTTTATTGAAATAAAAAAAAATGTCTACTGCTTTATTACATTGGTAAAAATAAGCTTTTCAAAAATCAAACCAACGAGGCAATTTGGGTGATGATTTATTTCATTGACCGTATCATACAAAACATCTAAAGTACAAGCGCCAGTTAGCGACAAGTCGCTATTGTCTCAAAACAATTAACACGTCGACACTTAATATAGGTCATGTTGTTTTTAAAGCTCACCACGGAGCGGGTGGTCGGCCACCCAGACCTCGCGTTATCGATAACTCGAACACTATCGACACCGGCACGTTACATGTAGATTTTATCAAAGTTTAATTACAATAGGTGGCTCGCCGTCCTCTGTTTATCGATTCAAGTATCGGAATATGAGATAATGCGACATCGAAGCTTAATATCTACGCAGATAAACTTGAAACATTCTTCGATGGCCAGCTTTGTAAATTCTGGCTACGAATGTTTATTTTCTTTTATGCGCGGTTAGTAAAAAGTACTGCAGCAGCAATAATGTTTGTATGACATGTATTGGTTGGCGAATTTAGTTTTCTGTTTAAGTTTTGATTTTTGATGAGCCCGTTATTGATATTTTATCACTGCACGCACTTAAATATTAATTATCTACAATATTCAGTCACACTTTATTGTACGGTTGATGAGTGTTATATCAATAATAACACTAAGTAATAGTACAGATTTATAACTTATATTATTCAAGCAGATACTAATATTGCAATGCAATTTCATTAAAGACGTACCTAGTTGGCAATGAATACATGCAAGATAGTATTAAGTTACCTATGACGGCTCGTTAATTATGGGAGTTGGGCACGAGTAGTATGGTATGATAGTTACAATAGTCGTAAATATGTCTTCGATGTATTTGTAAGATGCTGTTTTTCTTTGGAGTGCCTCATTTGACTACAGAGAGGGCGATAATCGAGTCGTTACGAAACAACAGACGGCGTCCGTGTCATTATATGGTCCCACAGTTGAAAGCTTAACAATGAACCTGTTAAAATAGTTTTATGGGTCAATAAAAACTAAAGCCTGAATGCATTGTTAAATATCTAGCTTTGTGGTAACGTCCTGTCTTTATTATGTTTTTTTATTGGCATTTTCTTGCTTTGGTCTAGGAACACTTTTATCAGTATAAAATGATTCGAGAATTATACAAGGCGAATGCTATATGAGTTCCATGCATTTTTTGGAATATATACTATTATTGAGTGTCTTTTAAGGTTAAATTAAATTGATAAAGTTAAATCTTATGGAATATAAACTCAGGAAGAAAGATTGTGCAGTTAATCGTTAATGATTTCTGTATTGGCTGAAGTATGACAATGATTTGATATATTGCAAGAAAATGCTGTTGAGAGCTTACTTATCTATATTATACTAATCCGAAACAAGAATAAGTAAAGTAATAAAATTACTATTCATAATAGATCACATAAAGGCGACAACATAACTCCTAAGTTGCCGACAAATCGTACTCAATGACATGAACCATAGAGCAGAGAATACTATGCTAATAATAAATCGATAGACCGGACAATTGAATGATCGCAGAGCTTCAGCCTTCGTAACACATTATCAAAGATTTCTTGGAGGCAATCTGGGAGGAGTGACCCGTAGGTGCGAGTGAAGCGCTGATAGCGGGATATATATATTTTTTATTTTAATAAAATGTTTTATAAGAAATCATTAATTTTATTAAAATTTAGATGTGTTTTCAGTTTATAGTAAAATATAAAGTCATTATTTTATTTACGTTTATTTCATAGAACGCATGACACTATATTACAAGTTATATGAAAAACGTAAAACTTTGTAAGCTTTCATAATATAAGTTACATTTCTAAACTAATTTATATAGCGAACGTAAGTACTTCTTACTACTTAAATAAGGTAAATTGCTACTTCGAAAGCTACTGGATGGATTTGGAAAAATATTCAACTATTATATTATAAACTTCCAATGGTCATTTGAAATAAATATAACTTTAAATATTAGGAATACCGCACACCCAATGGCAATCGTTTATTATTTACCTTTTTTTTGTAATAATGATCTTAAAATTCGCAGATTATTCTAAGTGAAGAAGTTGTGCAAAGTAAATTAGATCCGAGAACATACAGTAAGTTATAACATTGATTCGATTTAAAATAATTGGAGGACGATTTATATTGAGAAAGGTTTTGTCGGTTATATTATAAAAATAATCGATATCGCGGCCGCTTATGGTTTGAACCGTCACATAACGAGGGTGATTTATTCAGGTGCAGGCCGCAATCACGCGCCATTGTGTTGCGGCCGGCGAGCCGCGCCCTGGCCGGCCGGCAGCCGCGTACCGGACCACCGTACGTACGTCAAGATTCCACGCTAGTTCCAGATGACTCGTGGCCGAGCTGTACGCTCAAGAATTCTGCCAACGATACGGAAGTATTGCACCCTGGTTTGAAAATAACACTGATGTGTGCACAATATATTTTTTCTTTCTTTCTGCGAATAACTTACAGGCCAAGAATATTGTAATTACGTTCTGTTTTCACATTTTAGGTCGGAATAATGCGCAAATTTAGTATTAACAATGGTTCTATTAATTATTCTGCATAAATATAAAACTTCAGTATTTGCAAGAGATGTCTGCCATAAACAACAGGGGTTCTAGTGCAGAGCCTTGCGGCACAGCAATTATCACTTCGCAACATTCAGACCAGAGGTCATCATTTTAATACTATTGTACCTCAGGCCGGCTTCCTTTGAATAGAGAATTACTGTGAGGTCGTTTGTGCTTATTGCAATAATTCAGTACTAGCTCATGTTGTGCAATTGAAGTTTAATTGAATTCACTGATTGCTCGTTGATGATAGTTACGTTTGATTAGATGACACAACATGATACTGGTTTACACATCAATGTACATACTTATTACGAGTGCAGTCTGTATTTTGTATGTCACCAAAGTTCTATACGTTCAAATATCCATCCATGAACCGGCGTAAATAACTAAACGTTCTAAAATAAAGTCTTCAATTTAAAATTAAGCCTTTTAAGAAAATTGATTACACAAAAGAAATTTTATTTGTTTTAGGAGAACCAAAGATCGAAGATACTGCGAGTAGAAAATTCGGAAATACAGATATGTATAACCATATACATAAAAATAGACAGTTCGGTATACCCTAACTTGTATTTCAAAATAATAATTCAATAATTCTACTTTCTATTATGAAAGTAAGACCATCATGATCGATACTTATTTTTAAATTATATAGCATTTACTTCAATCGGAAGTATTTGCAACATCATTGCAGGGCTGACTGGTGGGGTGACATTTTTTGCTTTATTCAATCTGCTGGCCAATCAATTAGACAAGGTTTAATGGATTCGAGTGTCATCGGGCGGTGATCGATCACGTGGAATAAGTACATTAAGCAGTAGTTAGGTTCGGCGGACGGTCACTGATCGATGACTGGGGGCGAAATTTTTCGCAGCCGAGAGGTCGAAAACTTTTTGCAACTCCGCCGCATTTGGAACACTTCATTCGATTTTCGAATTTGTTCAACAAAAGGTTATTCTTCGCTTTCTTTTTTTATATTAAAACTTCTTTAAAAGGGTTTCATTTTTTAAGGTTTATAGTTGTTTTATTATTTTTTGTTTTATTAATTGAATAAAATTTTAAATCACTGAATTTGTGGCAAGGATCTAGATTATATTTTATATATAGCTTTAGGTATTACTTATAAAGTGATTCAATTTCTATGTAATTGAGTTTATCCATTGTGCTCAGCGTACTCATTACGAAATGGGTAGGTAATCTTTAATCGTGAAATCACAATTAATTTTTGCCCAAATCGACAGATTACGTTTTTCTTTGATAAATTTATGTACAAATTTCGTTTGTAATATTATGACGATATTAGTTTCGGCAAAGCAACAAGATTCAAACTATTTTATTGAACCTTGTGAATATTGTGAATGTAAAGGAATGACTTTTAATATTTTAATACAGGAATGGCTTGTGACATAAACGTGGAGCTAATTATTTCAATAACAGATTTCATTAAATGTTGCTTCAATTTCAAATTAGAGAATCTAGCGAATGTATTAATATTAATCATTTACCAGTATGTCGACTAAATAATTTAGTCGGTGGTCGTGTCAATCGCCCGTTCCGTTTCCGCCAGCACATGCGGGCGCGTAAATAACTCAATGTAGACGTTAATTATGTCGAGTGATCTTGAGCGGTCCGTCGAACGGAACGCAATCAGACGGAGGTTTGAATTTGGAACGGGAGAGCGTTCGTGCTTTGTTCTTAAACCAAATGACTGTTTCCGAATTTTAATTTGTATGGTAATTATACGTTATGAGTATGCTTGGTTATTTTGAGCGAATTAAAAATAAAATGTGGTAACGATAAATTTTGGACTTCTTAGCGACTCGGTTAGTGATACATATTTTATAAACTAACAGAACAGTTCAGTTCAGAATCACACAATTGTGATATAAATAAAGTTATATAAAATGCACTCATCAAGTATACCATTAACAAATGGCTCAGTTCGAGTTGACCCGTTTCAGTTGAACTGTTTAATGATTTTATATTAACTCTGATACGTTTAAAAACGTGTTTATAATGAATTCATGTCGCAATCCCATTTGCCACTTAAATTTATAGTGACACTTTCAGCTAATGCGGAAAACGAAATATTAAAATAAACAAAAGGGTAAACGTGAAGTACGTCGCAAACATCAGTCTCGAAGCAATCCAATTACGAGCGGTAATGTATGTTTTGTATATTAGTTTTATTTTATGACTAAATGTAGTTTGTTTTTAGACAAACCTATTTCTTAAACATCGTTCCATTCATTCTGTTTTCAAGAATGAACACTTTATATTTGTATACAGAGATTCTATTTTTTGTTTTCATTTTAATATGCGGTTTTAGAATTCTGTTCCCATAGATTAATTCCTTATTTCTAGAGTACATTTTAAAATTTGACTACTATAACGACATTGCTTTAGATTTGCTTTAAAATTAGTGGTTCTTTTTTCCATAATTAATCACTTTGATTTCCTTATTGTCTATAGAATTGAAAATTTGTAATTAATTACACATTTTTAATGAAAAATGCGAGTCGCATAGTCGCACACGAGTGAGTGTTTGACGGTTGACGCGTAAACATCATAAAAATATAGTGCCTACTGTTTTTGTGTCTTATTCAGTTAAATAATAACCTTTAAAATATAAACTACGTATCACTTTGATGTCTGAATCCTATATTTTAAAAACACATTAACAAATATCTATTCACATTAGAATTATTGTGAAAATTGATTATTTTTAAAACCAAGAATGGTGCGATATCAATAAGACGGTATTACGAAACCGGGGTGCATTCGCTGTCCTTTATTAGTGTGTGGTGCCGGCATTGGGCCGTCTCACTTAGCGCGCTTAATCATCGGAGTTATACCTGCCGCTTTGATAATGTGTGATGATAATTATGCGATACGTTGTGCCGGATGCCTAAAACAGATTACTGACAGGCGTTTTCTGTGTTGCAGTATCTGTAAAGAACATTATGACCTGATATGTGCTAACGTATCCGAGTCACGATTTTACAATACGCTAACTAAGGAAAAAAGAGAAACCTGGAAATGCACTTTGTGTGTGAGTAAACAACCTCGAACGGATAATACAAACACTCCTGTTAGATCGGCCGAGGATAAAATCACTACAAAGAGGGGTGCTGCGACGACTAGTCCTCATTCACAGCTGGATATTTCGATGATGGATATAAATTGTGAAAATAATACATCTGACAATTCTCGTGAAACCGGTTTGAGTGGCTCGAATCTTGATGTGTTAATATATGAATTACGTTTGTTTCGGGAAGAATTGTCCACTACTAGACGGAAGATAGGCGAACTTAATGTTTCTTTGTCGAATTTGGTCTCCAGAATGGATGCATGTGAAACCACAATAGATAAGCTTAATGCTCGTGTTGAGAAGTTGGAACAACGTATTAACAGAGACCCCTTAATACTTGAGCCAGATAATAATACATTTCTTGCTTCAATGGAACAATTAAAACATGAAATAAACGATCGTGATCAAGAGTTGTTGCTCAATGATATCGAGTTAGCCTGTATTCCAGAACAAAAGGGTGAAAATTTGACCAGCATCGCTATTACTCTAGCAAAAAAATTGGGAGTCAACATTGGTGAGCAGGAAGTCGTGTGCGCAATGAGAGTGGGCCGTCCACCCGGGCAAGTGGATGCATCGTTATCGTCAGCGAGACCATGGACCGTTGTAATTCGCTTGGCAAGGCGCGCTGTGCGTGATGAGATGTTACAAGCAGCACGAGTGCGTCGCGGAGTCACCACCGAGGGTACGGGGTTGCCGGGTACACCGCGACGATTTTATGTTAATGAGCGATTAACTCGAGTTAATAGGTCAATCTATCGACGTGCTCGTGACATCGCAGGGCGCCTGAATTGGCGTTTCGTTTGGTCGAGAGATGGGAGGGTGTTTGTCCGACAGCATCAGGGCGATCATGCCCCACGCCACCGTTTACGCTCGGAAGCCGATTTGGTTCGTGTTTTTGGACCAAATGCCGTTCATGCTGTTGATAAGTAGTTACCTATTGTCTCTAATGTTATATTGTATTCTAATATTTCTGAAACTTTTATATATAATGTTACTATTTTTATTTTTTAATGAACTAATTTTACTATTTTTAATTAACAATGAATTTATTTTGTGGTATTTACTTTATATAATAATTTTTGCATGGCCTATATCGTATGATACTGCTAATATTAATAAAAACAACTTATGGTACACAAGAATAGATTTTTAAATTTATGTTTATACAATGCCGGCTCTTTAAACACTGGCCATGATGAGTTCTTGGTGGCTATGGATCGCTTTAGGAGTGATATTGTTGCCATCAATGAGACATGGCTGGCGGCTGGACAGGGAATGCGTGCTCCTGCTCCACCTGGTTACCGATTACGCTTTACTCCACGCCCACAGCATATGCGCAGGGGTCGGGGAGGTGGTGTAGGCTTTTATATAAAAAGTAATATTCATGTTCGATATATAAAGAACCTAGATGCTTCTATTGAACAAATGTGGCTCTCTACACGTGCAAATGGTTATAGGCTTGCTATAGGTACGGCATACAGACCGCAGTGGATGAATGTTGATACTTTTTTGGATGTTTTAACTGATACTGTTTCAAGGTTATCTTATTTTGATTACATAATAATTATGGGGGATTTTAATATAAATTTGCTTGAAGAGAATGACACTAAAACAGTCAAATTACTGAATTTTCTGGAATATATTGAACTCAAACAGGTTGTATCTGAACCTACCCATTTTACTTCAGGATCCGAGTCCTTGATTGATATTGTGTGTACTAACTGTCAGGTACGCGAGACATCAGTTACAAATATTGCTGGATTCACTGGCCACGCCATGGTAAATTGTGTGATAAATCTGAAGAAGCCTAGAACTACTTCTAAAGTAGTTTCATACAGACCGTTGAAAAATATTGAATTTGATAGTTTTGAAAAGGATTTGGAGTCGGTGAATTGGGAGTCCATTAACGAGCAATCAACTGTTGAGGATATGGTAAGCAGGTTCAACCTGCTGTTGGTAGACTTATTTGATAGACATGCTCCAGTTAGATTGTTGCGTACGAGGGCAAATAAGACTTTGCCTTGGATCACAGACAATCTTAAATTCATGATTGAATTGCGTGATAAGGCACTTAAGACTTACAGACAGACTAATTCGGATAGTCATAGGTCCTACTATAAGGATTTAAAGAGGTTGGTGACTGCAAGCATGGTTAGGGAAAAGAAGGCATATTTCAATCACTATGTCAATTCCAACATTAATAACAGCAAAACCTTCTGGCGCAATATAAAACAAAAAGTTTTGATCGATCCTAGTACAAATGATCGTTTACCTGACTGTTTCTGTGATCCTGCGTCTATTAATGAATATTTTTTGGATGTACCCGTCCATAATACTATCACGTCGACTAATATTGCTTTCTTTGAATCTTTCAAATTTTCTAACTCTATTTTTACGCTCCAACCAGTCGATGAATTAACGATCTCTAGGTATATTATGTCCACTAAATCCAACGCTATAGGCAGTGATAATATAAGCAGAGATATGGTTCTTCTAACTCTGCCTAGAACCTTAACAGTGATTACCAAAATCATTAATGAATCCATACGTACAGGAATAGTTCCCGGTCAATGGAAGAAGGCGTTAATTACTCCTTTGCCTAAAGTGGAGCTACCCTGCGAATTCAAAGAACTAAGACCCATAAGTATACTTCCCTTTCTCTCTAAAATATTGGAAAAGGTTGTATATCGACAACTGTACGATTATGCAGAGAAAATAAAATTGCTACCGTCACGCCAGTCTGGATTTCGCAAAGGTCGTGGAACAGTTACGGCTTTGCTTGATGTTACCGACAATCTACTGGCAGAATCTGATGTCGGTAGGGGTTCCATCCTTGCTCTTCTTGACCTTTCTCGGGCTTTTGAATGTGTTAATATATGTCTCATGCTTTCGAAACTATTTTACTATGGACTGGACGCGCATGCGGTCAGATGGTTTAATAGTTACTTGACTGATAGATATCAGTCCGTCAAGCTTTTACGACGGGATGGAACTGCAAACGTCTCTTCGCCTAAATTAATTAGTCAGGGCGTACCTCAAGGCTCCATTCTGGGGCCTCTTCTATTTATAATCTTCAGTGCTGATCTTACAAAGATTATAAGGCATTGTCGTTATCATTTATATGCCGATGACATTCAATTGTACATATCTGAACATCCCGATAGAGTGGCGTGTGCACTTCGGTATTTGAATGAGGATTTGGAGGGGGTGGCTCATTGGTGTACTGAAAATGGCCTTATGCTTAACCCGAATAAGTCTAAATATATGGTCATAGGCTCTAAATCCCAAATAAAGAAGATCATTAACAGATCTCCTCATATTACAATACAGCAGCATACAATCGAACGTGTGGACAGTGTAAAAAATTTGGGTGTTCACTTCGATAGCGAGCTGCGTTTTGAAGACCATGTAAAGGCATTGGCCAAACACTGTTTCTACAGGTTGAAGGTCCTGTATAAGATACGTGATCTACTATGTCAGAATGCTCGTATTAACATCGTCGAGGCATTAGTTCTGTCCAGACTTAACTATGCAGATCTTGTTTATGGACCACGTCTCCTTTATAAATCTCAAAGACTGTTACAGCGAGTTCAAAATGCCTGCTTTAGATTCTGTTTTGATGTACCGCCTCATTCTCGTATTTCTCCATTTCTTAATAATGAATCAATATTGAATATGGAATCACGTCGACATTTACATCTGGCATCGCTTTTATTCGATATAACAAAATTTAAAAGTCCCGATTACCTCTTCTCAAAATTGAATTTTTGTACCTCAAACAGATCGCGTGATTACGCACCGAGATCAATACGACCGCCTCTCGTAGTTCACCAACACCGCACTGTGGCGTTTACTGGCAGTTTCCGCTACCACGCAACTAAGTGTTGGAATAATATCCCACCGCCACTAAGGTTGTTGAAAAATAAATATTGTTTTAAAAAATTATTAAAGTCATATCTGCTAGATAAACAAAAATTAGGTATTCCAACACTCTGACAGGTGGCGGTAACGTAATTCTTTTTGTTATTTCACTTATTGATTGGTGTTCAATATACATATCTCGTTTAAATGTATTGTTTATTAATGATAAAAACGAATTATATAATTTAACTTGATTTAAATAATATAATAATTTGATTTGAATTTTGTAATAAATATGGTAATTATTATTCAATAAAATATTTGCTAATGTATTTTATATTTCACTATTTATTTTATATATTTTCTATCTATAAAATATATATATTAGGATGGTTTTATCTGATTTTCATCGATATTTAAGCCCGATTAGTTGCAGTACCGTGTTTGCGCTCACCCTTGGTAGCAGCTGAAAATCAGCGATTTGCTCGCGTATGCGCGTGAATAATTGACGCTGAGCTGGGACCATTTTTTACTGCTGTGACGCACACACACATTTTGTTTTCGAATGTTCATTTATCTAACCTTACATACTTATTAATTATTTTTCAGTTGAATGAAATGTTATGTGTGTGTGTATTGTGGCAAAAAATAAATCGTTTATCTATCTATCTATCTATCTTATTTTGTCCCTGGCGCTCTTATAAGAGACTCGAACCCATGACCTTTAGCTATCCGGGCGACTGCTCTAACCACTAAGCTACCCAGGTTTTTGGACAGGTTTTTCTACCCAGGAATTTGTCAAGCATTTGTTATTTTTTTCGCTAGTACAGAGCTGAACGCAGTCTACCCAAACAGGCGAAAGAAATATTACACTCTGAGATGGGACTTGAACCCATGACCTTTCGCACATCTGGGCACATTTCTTACAAGTAGACATGGGCAAGCGTAAGTAGGCATACATTTTTAGAAGAACATTTCTTCTACAATACTCGTAAACGATGTATTAAAAAAAAATTAAACGAAATTAAGTTTTTATTTTTTATATTATGAAGCATGTTATAAAAAGATAAAATCAATAAGTTTTTAAAAAGAGTAACTGAAAAGCAACCAGATACTCCGCTGCAAAACTCCAGTGGCGGAATTGATCAAACTTAGAAGTAAACAGGATAAGCCCGGGATTAGCACCCGACAAAGGCCCTAGCTCAGTTAAGTATACAGTTGTTGCACTGACTTGCGATAACAGCGCTCGCTGAACGGTTTTCCGTGGCCTCTTATACATATATTTTAAAGAGGTAAGATTCAAAGGTTCTGTATTCAATTAGCCTGTTAACCAGTAAAAAATCTGAAAAATTAAATTATTTTTCAATAGAGAAATACAAAATATAGGGAATACTTATAAACCACGTCGTTACTGAAATATAATTAAATTTTGTCACTCTATGAGCAAGGAATCGGTGTAAATATTTTTCACGACCAGCTGCGTTTTATTAAGTAAATAGATTTTATACTAGATTTATACTCTTTGGTTTTATATAACTATACTTTTTGGAATACAATATAGGTATTTCTTCATAATAAAAAAAAGTCAGTGTGTGCAGAAAACAAGCGATCGTATCATTTACCTTTAAAAATATGATATGCATACTCGTATAGTATTATGGATGTAGATTCGCATATAGCACCTCATTGTGTCTTGTTTCTTAATGGACATCTGGCAAGAGGTAGGCTTAGGGTAACACAAGAAAAAGAGGCTTTCTAGGCCTTAAACTTATGTAGGAGCACAACGAAAACACTGCCGTTTGTAGCCCCCCTAATGAAGGACTACAGCTTACGCGTTAGGGTTGTCTCTAGTGAAATGCAGACAGTATTCATAAACTTATATTAGGTATCATCATCATCACCAGTCTATTAACGCCTCCACAGCTGGGGCTCAGGCCTTCCCTATGAATGGAACGAAATCGAATTGGGAAATTGGACCATGACTCATTACGCAGCTCCATTACGGATTGGTAGGTATTAACGACTGCAGATGCAGTCGGGACCAACAGCTTCACGTGCTTTCTGAAGCA